TATTATATTTATATATTTATTTGGATATTCATTTATTTATATATAAATATAATTTATTGTAAACTATAATTAAAAAATTCTACTAGTTTAGTGGTTGGAGTTTCATTCTCCAACTCTAAGGTATTGGAGGGAGTGTCTCTAGAAAAATAGGTTTTATAATAAATAAAAAATTTAATAAATAATAAAAATATTTTCAACAAAAAATCCAGTCGATAAATTTTACCGATAACACAATTATCAACGGATTTAGAACCGTGGATAATCCATCGATAATTTCAATTTTTGTTGTAGTATAAAATATAGTATAATAATGTGAATCTTTTCAAACATATATGGAATGATCTGAAATGCTTCACATTCTTCTTCAATCTCGTACTTTTCTCTTGAAATACTTAGTTTTTTGGTATTTTCTCCACCAGAATCTCCACTGAGAATTGACTCCAATTGAGCACATCATTACACATTATGACTAGAGCGCACTGGGCATGAATTGCCTCCACAACTCTACGAAATGCAAATTCCATTAACTCTATGTAATTTTCAACCATTCATCAACTCCAACTTCATCATTCTTTGTTCTTAATGTTTCAAAAATATTTTTCAAATTCCACCATCAATATTATTAAATTTGATATGGGTGTAACTTATCTTCGTCTTATTTATTTTATTTTATTTATTTTTGAGAAGTGTAATAATATGTTTTACAATTTATTTCTTTTAATATTTATTTTATTATGGTTAATTTGGTAACTACATTAAAGAAAGCCTACACCTCAAAAGTAGGTTACTTTTTCCTTGTTATGCTACATAATTCAAAACCTTACTAATATGTAAAAAGATGAGTTATGAGATTAATTTTTATCCATTAGAGGAAAAAGTTCACATGAGCAACTAATTAGAAATTATTATTTCCTTAAAACAAATTTATTATTAAGGTCAGCAAACTTAAGATATTTTGTAATTTAATGATAATATAATTTTTGTGTCTTAATCCCATATATTTTATCACACAATTTTTATCTATTTATGAATTTTGCCACTTTTTTTTTGCATTTTTGCATTATATTTTTTATTTTCACGTATTTCACCGATTAAATTCACAAAGAAATTGAAATGATGTTGTTTTGCTATTCATTTTTAAGATCATGTTAAATGGTGTTGAAGATGCAGACCAACAACTAGTGATAACAGGACATTTCTCATACCTTCATTTTCTTTTCAATACTTCATGGTGCAGCTCACTCTTACTATTAATACAAGTTTTTGTTTTATTTTTTTTCACATGAATATATGGTAAAAAATTGACGTTACTGTTTTGAAAATCGACTAAAAAGTTTAATCGATCTAACATAAATCAATTTAAAATTTTGTTTATTATTTATAAATAATATTGATATAAAATAAAAAATTCATACAAATTAATAAAATAAAAAATAATCAGATTTTAGTTAAATTGATATAACATAAAAAAATTTATACAAATTGATAAAATAAAAAATAGGTTAAATTTTTTTATAACCAATTTAGTAAAAAAAAGTAAATTTTTTAATTAATTTTAAATATAATTTATTTATAAAACATTTTTTAATTTTTTTATTTCGTATTAATCATGTTAAATTTAAATAATAATTATTTTATTATATTTTTATTTATAATAATTTTACTTTTATAATTAACTATAATAAAATTCTTCATTATATTATTTTATTTTGTTTTTAAATTATTATTATTATTAACTAAAAAAATTATATATTATAAAAAAATATTTTATTAAATATAATTGAATTTATTCAATTTCATGTCCGATTTTAAATACAGTAGTTTATATTACGTAATTCTCTATTCAATTTTTTGTTGTATGGTGAGTAAAATGACACATACGCTATGTATTCTGCGGTGTCACACGTAAAATGACACTGATTGTGACGTGGACGATGATAAGTAGGTTATGTATGTAACCTTCGGTGTCACAGGTATGAAAACATTGTGTGTTTATTATATCATGTTGATCAGTGTAACATTATTAGGCACATTAGTAGAAAACTGAGAATGTTTATAGTTATACGAAATAAAGTAGAAAGAAAAGTGAAATGAATCCTCTTATTATTAAGAAGGTGTTAGTTGGAAATTTAGCCTTCTGAGCCAAAGTGAGTGGAGTATCATATGCATCAAATCGAATGCCTTTGCTGGCCTGTTTATCACAAAATGCCTTCGAACCCTCCTCACATTGTAATACAACTTTCTATACTTATCTTTTGAAACATTTTGTAAAATAATCTTAATTTCTGGTATTCTCACCACCGCAATTTCTAAGGAGAATTCACTCCAATTAAGCACATCACTGAAAGGCAAAGAGTAATTGTCACAAATTATCACAGGGACACACCCTGCATAGATAGCTTCCACCACCCTAGGACTTGCCACTTCGTGCCCACTGGGGCAGAGGCAAAACTTGCTTTGCCCCATCAACTTTGTATAGTCTTCACCCTTTGGAAGGTACTCGTGAACTTCAACTTCTTTATCCTTATCCTTCCATCGCTTCAGTAGTTTTTTTCGAATCTTCCCATGAGCTCCACCAGCGAAAAAGGCTAATATTGGACGATTATTAAGGTGTTGGGCCATGTCAGGTGGACCAAGCTTCCCAACTGGTAAATTCACTTCTGGAATGGAGACATCTCTGTTGGGTTCAAATCCTTCTGAAGTGTTCGCATTGCAAAGTACTCTGATGAAGTATTTGAAGAGTTCGGGATTCGCATACGACACTCTTGGACCCTGAATGATCAAACCCTTTTTATTCAAATTTACAAAAACCAAACGCCATTGGCTAGTATTTTTAATCAAAACCAACATATTCAGTAAGACATTGAAGTTTTGTAGCTAGCAAAACATAAGAACGAGGGTATGTGTATGTACCTACCCAATCATGGCATGAAACAAGAAAATGGTCAGCACCTTCGGTTCTGTTCCAATAAGGATATTTATTTGCAACAACGTTGATGTAATCCTCCACCAAACGTTGTAAGCGTTCAGGATCATAGTCGGATCTGGACCTTCTGGGCTTGTAAACATAGCGAATGACCTTAGATATGCTGAAGGGAAGTAAGAAGAGATGGGCCTGTTGTGGATCATGGGCCTTGAAGGGGCTCTTGTTAGCCATGTCCATTTCATCAATGAATTGGCCTTCAATGGAGTATTTGTTGTTTACAGGCCCATCATGCACCAGTGGCTGCTCTCCTTCCTCGTAAACCCAAACCTTCAATCTCTTCATCATCTCCACGTGGCTCCTGTTGTTTTCATGTTGCAGATAAGATTAAGTTTACTGGACCCACGTCATTTATTTCGGCTAAAAAACTGAAAATAAACGGAATAAAACAATATATGCACAGTGCTAACCACCCCGACTAAAACAGTAAAACAGTTACTTGTGAATGAAAAAGTTATTTGCGAAATCAAACCGAAAAAAAAAAAACAGAGATTCAGAATGTCTCATGCTTAACTGGTGGAAAGCGTGTGGATTCCGGTAAATGGAACCTTTCGGGACAAAACTCTGTGTAGCGAGGGATGTGTAGTTCTTGTTCCGAATTGCTTTCTGGATAAAAGCTCGCGAACGGGCTAAACCTTCCTCAATCCTCTTCAAACTAGTCATATTCTTCTTCATGCCATGGCCAAACTGAAAATTCAAGACAAAAGGATTTAATCTAAAAACAATTAGAAAACCTTTCGAAAGATTATGAAGGTCGAATACCTTAATCCATTTAAGACCTGTACTGTTGTAGGTTTCATTATGGATGGAGACAAGTTCTTGTGGGGAAGTATTGCCTTTGATACTAGAAATAGTGAGAGAAGTATCTGAGTGGACATGAATCACATGATGATCATCGTGTGAGGGAGTAAAAAGAACTAGGAAAAAATTAAGGAAGAACACTAGAAATACTAAAGAAGACAGTGGTGACTTGAAAAGTTTCATTATTTCTTCTTCTAGAGCTTTGGAAATTTTCTCCCAGATGCTCCCTCTCACCAACCATGTAAAACAAATTTATTCCTGAATAATTGATGATTCAACATCCCACCAAATAACAACTTATTCTTATCTCAAAACAACCCTAATCTCTTTTTCATACAGAATAGTTGCTTGAAAAAGTAGTAATTCTTTTCTTGAATAAAGGTAATAATTTTAAGTAACTTACTTTGTCTCAATTATTTCAATTAACTTTACAACTAGAAAACAATCTAACCCATACATGCTGTCATCAGCTATGACCCACCTACATAGATGTTCACGTGAAGACCTGTGAAGTCGAGCTCTTAGGTTTCTTTTTTTATTTAATAAACTACTAAATTTTGGCAAAGACGTCTATTATTTAATAATATAAGCATTAGCTAGAAGCAGAAGTGTTTAATGCATAGAGAAATCTAAATTTTTCTAATACTTGGTTAAATAATATAAAATTAAAAAGTCTCAAAAATACAAAAAAGACATTTAATGTTTCATTTCACATTCAAATTAGCAATAGCTACGCACAACTGAACGGATGAAGCAGAGCATAACAGTGGTTGCATATTCATAAATTGTGAAGAGTTACTCAGAATGATTTAACATACAATCATCAACTTAATCACCATTGGTTTGTCATGCTAATTTCAACTGAATCTATAATGTTCACAGGACCTTGTGACATGGGAAATCTTGACCAACTACATCTCCCTTTAGCGCACAGATAAACTAAAAATAGTTACTAAAGTTACTTAACCAAAAATAGTTTATATAACCTCTAACAAGTTGTACTGTACCCAAATGGTTTAAGAGTGGAAAATCAAGAAGGACCTTCGTATGCAGAAACATCCCTTTATTCTGAAGCCATGAGCCTGAAGTTCAGTCTTCTAAGCCAAACTGAGTGAAGTATCATGTGCATCAAATCAAATGGCTTAGCTGGTCTATTCATCACAAAATGTCTCCCAACTCTTTTCACATTCCTATGCAATTTCATGTACTTCCTTTCTTATACGTTTTGTAATATAGTCTTGATCTCTGGTATATTCTCCACTGGGATTTGTATGGAAAGTTGATTCCCATTAAGCACATAACTGAAGGGCAAAGTATAGTTCTCAGAAATGATCACAGGAACACACCCTGCATTAATAGCTTCTACAACTCTAGGACTAGCCACTTCATACCCGCTGGGGCACAAGCAGAACTTGCTTAGTCCCATTAACTCAGTATAGTTTTGACCACTCCGAAGGTACTCATGAACTTGAACTTGACTATCTTTGTCCTTCCAATGCCTCAGAAGCAACTTCCTAATATCACCATGGGCTCCACCTGCAAAAAATGCTAATATGGTGCGGTTCATGGGGTGCTGGCCCAAATTTGGTGGTCCTAGCTTTCCAACAGGCAAGTACACTTCAGGGATAGACACGTCCCTCTTGGGCTGGAATCCTTCTGAAGTGTTGGCATTGCATAAAGCTCTGATGAAGTTCTTGAAGAGCTTAGGATTCGCATGTGATATTTCTGGTGCCTGAATCATTAAGTAAAACAAAAGCAATTTATATTAACTCAGCTCGTGTAAAACAACACTTGTTATGATTATAAAATTATAAAAATACTTCTTTTCAGTCAAAAGCCCCAAAAAAAGAGACATTAAAAAACTCAAAGTAGTACAGTAGTATGAATCCTCAAATAAAGCATTTGTTTAACAAATTTTAATTTATAGTTCTTCTCTGACACCTGGGTCATCAAGTAGATGTAGACTTTGTTCAATACTTGAATTCATAGAAATGCACCAAGGATCAAAATAATGATATGCAGGGCGTCGTAGCATGTTTTGATTGAACAAATATCATATTATTTGCATGAATACTTAACATCCATGCATAGTTGTGATAAATTATTAACCACAACATACTAAAGTTACTAGCAATTGGCATATTAACAGAACAATTTTAAGAAGGGTACCCAATCGTGACAGGAGAGGAGAAAATGATCTGCACCATTACTTCTATTCCAGTAAGGATACTTTTCTGCCACAGTGCTAATATAATCCACCACCAATCGTTGCAAGCGGTCACGACGATAATCATTTTGGGACATGAAAGGTTTATAAACATAATGAACCACATTAACCACGCTAAAGGGTAGGAAAAAGGCGTGTGCCACATCAGGGTTCCTGGCCTTGAAGGGACTCCTCTTGCTATTATCCAATTCATCAATGAATTGACCCTCAATGGCGTATATATCATTTAGTGGCCCATAATGAACTAATGGTTGTTCTCCTTCCTCGTACACCCACACTTTGAATCTCTTCACCATCTCCTTGTGACTCCTGCTTTTCATTTTATTCAAAAACATCACTTGTTAAGAATGTAATGTGCTTTGTGTGTAACTTAGATCAAGTGTGTTATTATAAGCAAGGTTTTAAAAAAGCTGTCCAGGATTGCGATTTCAGCTGCACCATCAAAGTTTTGGAGTGTGCGCGACCACAATTATGGTCACTATTTAAAAGCATCATTATAATTAAAGATGGTGAAGATATTTAGGAATCTTTCGAACTTAACTGGAGAAAAGCATAAGGGTTTCTATAAATGGACCCTTTAGGGACAAAGTCTTCTTGTTTCCCTGAACAGTTGTGATTCCTAGAGAGAATTGCTTCCCGGATTGAGGCTCGAGCCTTTGCCAAACCTTCTTCAACTACATCAAAGCTAGTCCTTTTCTGCATGCAAATAAATCTCTAGTGTCATGTATTATATATATGCTTTAGGAGTTTTGACTCCAAAACTTTGTGCTTAATTAATTTTTGCACACCTTAATGCTATGGTCAAGACTTCTATATGCAGAGTTGGCCAGATACTATGGGGTTGTGCTTGTGTTGTGATGCCTTTTATGCTGGAAATGGAGAAACAAGGAAAATCGAATGAAAGATGATTTCCCTTGAGATGAGTGAAGAAAAAGAAGAGAAGAATTGGGAGAAACAATGGGAATAACATAGAGGATGTGGAGCATCTAAAGAGCACCATGGTAGTTCATAGATTGAATGCACATTTGCCTTCATCAAATGCATCCGTAGTTATATAATCTACAATATTACACCGAGTAGTCTCAAGTCATGTGAACATGTATAAGAAGTTGCAGACCTGAGTTATTCTAAGATCTTTTCACAATGTTTTTAGTATTATCAGGTGTTTACTTGTAGTTGAAGGCATGTGGCGTAAACCTTAAAAGTAGGGCTTTGTATTGAGAAACTGGCGCGTAGATCACCATAGCATTTATTTCAGTGCAAGCTTGCCCAAAGGAAACGCCATTTGACTTGTCTAGATGGCAAAATTTTGAGCTGAAGCATGCAAACTCCATGTATACATCAATTTGCACTCTCAGCTGAAAGAAGTCAACTCAAGGAAAACACAAATAATTAATGGAGAAACAAAAAACGATAGGTTTTCTAGAATGACCATAACGAATTTTGAACTTATCACTGTCTAGATATCAGCTACTTGGTTAAAAACACAGCTTTTGAAATTGTTACTTCAGAGAAAATTGTGTAGAAACTATTCTCCAAATGTTAGAGGGATTGTACCGTGTAAAAAAAACTTCTCCCTCACTTTCTAATATTTAAGTAAAAAATTTGGAATCTAGTATTAATTATATTCCTGTGTTTTAATTATATTTATTATGGAGTGAAGAGATAACAAGTTATTTATGAATATTTTGGCAGAAAAATGTATTTAAAATAATAAAAATTAATACTTATATTACTTTTATAATTAAATCTTAAACTTCATATATTTTAAAATAAAAATGATTTATTTTATGTTATTTTCACTGGATTTGATAATCTCGTGTTTAAAACATGTATTGTAAAACTTTTAGTAATTAATATTGACATTTTAAAAGTATAGTTTTAAATTTGTAAAGGTGTGCCAATAAAATTTAATATGATTAGAATTTGTACAATTATGATCAAAAGCAAAAAAAGTGAAGTATAATAAATAGGACATGTAAATGAAAAGAAAAAGTTGTTAGATGTAGAGTGAAAAGGAGTTATTATAGGAGCCCCAATGTTGTCTTTTCTAGGAGATAATAATTAAAAAGTATGAAAATAGTACAAGAGTTGAAATCTCCATGGCATGAGAAATTTATTGGAAGGGAAGCATGTGGATTGAGATGGAAGCTTTGAGGTTGAAGAAATTAAAAGTCGATTCTTGTAAATTGGAAGAGCTGTTACTAAAGAAATGCTTAAGACTCTCTTAAAATGATAGGGGGGGCATTCTCCACCATCTAGGGTATATTTGAGGGGTAGGCTTTTTATTCTCGTTATTAGGGAGCTGAAAGTCCAAACAACACTGCCTCACGTAAAAGTTGTCCAGACATATCATTAAAGAAGAATTCAATGTTGGGAAAAATATTCAATACATGTTCATTAAGAAAGAAAAATAACTGAACAGATAAAATAATTAAAAAAAAACTATGATTTTTTTGAAAAAGCTTGTTAAATTTGAGTTATTTTTACCACTTCTTTTTCTAAGAGTAGGGAACTACTAATTCTTAAATTATATATCTTTTTGTGGTTCTTATACTGAGTTATGAAAATAAATTTCATAACACTTTTTTTTTTAATTTCAGCCTCCAAGTTCAACGTTTGGAAAGTCATTTTGAATTTAGATTAGTTTAACTTTTTTTATATATATAATTCTTAAATCTTATAAATATCTAAATTTTCTATAGTTAGATTGATGGTATGAATAAGATTTAGGATATGTTGGGACAAAGTGTACTTTTTAGGATTTATTGGATAGAAGAAATAAAATACATAAATAAACTTTTTTTATAAGTTGAAAATAATTTATTCACAAATAAAAAAAGGTAGATAAGATATATTAAAAAATGATGAATTAATTTATGTATAAATTAATTTTAAACTTTAGAGAATGTTATTTATTTTTTTTATATTTCTCTCTTATAAACTTTTATTAAAATAATTACCCAAACAAACGTTATTCTCTAAACTAATTCAAAACACTACTTAAATAGATTGAAAGAAAGATGGTAATTCACATTTTAAGGCTTAATTTGGCAAGAATCACTTTTGAGTGAAAAAATTAGCGTCAATGAATTGAGCCGATTCATTCATGTTAACGAACATTTTATTTTTAAAATATATTTTTTCTTAATTTTAGTTTTAATATTATGATATTTTCTTCTTTTTTAAAAATTGTTTGCTTTTGTTAGAAAACATATTATTGGACTTATTTTATTTATGATTTGGTCCACTTACTTTTTGAGCAGCACCTGTTAAGCCAACCCCTAGATACTGTTGTCCACATGTTTGACACAGTAATTTACTAATTTGAAGTTGCAATATGATGATTTGAACAGCCACAAATAACACAATTAAACAATCAAGAAAAGAATGAGGCCAGCTAAATTAATTCTCTTGATACAATCCTACATATTTTGAACAACAAATCCAAAAGGGAAGAGAATAAACTGATGGTACTAGAAGAAGATGAGAATCAAATAATTATATTCTGAAGAATCACTTCTGAAATCACAGCCTCTTCCGGACTTGTAACAATCTGACACTTGAAATGAATGAAGCCAACGATGAAACAATACTCCTTATCACCACACAAATGCTTGCGCCACTTATACAATTAATATGAAGATCCAAGGTAATCCATATTATGCTGCATACATATATATAAATATATAAGTTGTGAAAGATTAAGATTAAGAAATATCACGGAACCGTATCACACCCAAAAGAGTCACGCCACTCGAGCATTTGAAGAGTGGCTGCATAATGAGCTAATGCTCCAACCACCACCAGAGTATGAAAAATTTGGTGGCTATGACCTGCCAAGTCGAACCACCCTGGCTTCCACCTTTCGGGTATCCTTGTCACATAGAATAAGGTCCCTGTCAAGTAGGACAATGCCATGGCACTTTCGTATGCCAAGGTAATATTGCGTCTAGGATTGGTCCAATTCACAAAGCACGCATGGATTGCAGGCACAACACCGAAAAGTCCCATTGAACAGAACAACATGGCACGAAATGATCGGTATTTGCTAGTGGAAAGTGTTGGAGAGAGCATTGTTGCGATGGTGAATAGTCCCATGGCTGTGATCCCAGCAAGGTACATGATTTGCCAGTGAGGCTCACAGAGGAAAACGTAGTAGATTTGAGGGAAAAAGGAGGTGATGATCATGACAACTATTCCTACATAATCCAGTCGCCACAGGAACATGTTCAATTTGTGGGAGTGGCAACAGAACAGGTGGCACATGCTGCTAGAGAGGAGGCAGAACATTGAACCACCAAGAAAAACAAAGAATGGCCACCTTGCTATAACCAATGCTGTGGATTGAAGTTCGATCGTCAAAGGCATTTGATTATTTAAATCAAAGAGTAGCGTTGTTCCCTGCAGGTTCATACAATGTCAGTCTTCAAAATATTGTTTCGTAATTTATATGATGGATGATTGATTTCATGTTGGATTACCTAGAATCATAACGTGATTGTTTTTTAAATCACATGTTTGATTTCACTAAAAAAAATGAATTTGAGCTGAAACAGTTTTAGAAAACTTTCAATTTAAACGAAAAATTTCACAATTTTGTTTCCCTTGGAAAAATTGATTCTCGTCCAGAATTGATTTGAGCTGAAACAGTTTTTAGATAACCTTTATGTTGGATGAAAAATTTATAATGAACTCTACTGTTAACTTGTTTATCTAAATATATACATCAATACCCTTCAAAATCATTTTTGTTAAAGTTCATTGCTCGCCAAATGTAGTGGCAGGGTGTCTTTATCTGTTTCTATTGTGATCATGAGGTCACTTACCAGAAACATATCTTTGATGTTATGAGAGACATTTTTGTCCGCACTTGAAGAAAAAGACCTGCAAAAGATTATCTGCAAATTTAGATGGGTTCTGGTAAAATCAACCATAACAGTAACTGGGGAGTCCACCTAATATAAATTCCTAACCGCAATGGTTAATATAAAACGACAAAAAAAATGTAGAAGTTTATTCTAACTAATGAAATGGATGAAGGACAAAGGCAATTTCCGGAGTATCGTTGTTCTAGTTAAACTACCTGTCTAAAGCAAATTGTACAAAAACTTTGGTACATCACAGGACTGGTTTGAAGTATAAAAAAATGATAAAAATTAAAACAAACAAAAAAATTATGTGCTACTTCAAATACAAAAGTATAACTCTAAAAAAGACTTTCCATCATGTATTTGTTAATCAAACGCGTGTTAAAGAAACCATTTCCATAGCGTGGTTTGAGTGTGAGAAAATCTCTGTTTCAGTATTATAGTAATTCTCTTGGATAATTAAAGCAACTAGATTCCAGATTTAGTTTGTTTATTCCAAAATTTCAATCAGCAGCAGGTGCTGGCAACATGCTGACATGTGTTTTCTCTTACATGAGAAACGAGATTGGTGGATGAATCTCAATCTCCGACAAAGAATATGCAATTCTGTCATAACAAAAACAAATAAGGTTGAAGAAAAAAAAAAAGACCTGGTAACAAGTTGCAAGAGATCCGCCATACGAGGCTTCATCAAATTGGCGAGAGTCAACCCAAGAAACAGTAAAAACCCTATGAAATGGCTGAAACAGAAGAACCCAGAAACAAGCAACATTAGGTAACCATATGATAAAAACCAGAAAAGAGAAAAGGAGTGGATTTGTTATTACGTCCAAACATTCAAGGTTTCGTTGTGCCAGCGAAAGAGGCTGAAGAGAGCTTGTTTGAAGGGCCAATTGGCTCTGTAATAACGCAGAATGTATTCGTTGTCCTTCATGTATTCAGGCAGCTCCCAAAACGACAAGAGTGGGTAGCGTTTGGGTCTGTCACGGTCGCACATGTTCTTCTTCATGGAATCCTTGGAGTGAGTAAAAGAAAAGGTTTCATCAGTTTCTCTGGATTTGCGCTTGACCACACATTTGGTCTGAATACAGTTCATTGCCCTTTGGGGAGAACCTTGAGAAATGGTGTGGAATGAAAGGGTTCGTGGAGAGTGAGATGAGATGAGATGAAACGAAAGGCAATGATGAATGAGAATGTAAACGGTGGTTGCGTGGCTAATTGTTGATGCAGTAATGGAGGCTGCGCAACTGCACCAACTGCAGCATTTAAGGAGCCAGAGTCAGTCTCCGTAAGGTTTGGCACTATTCTGTGGGGTTGGTTAATCGCATGCACACACTATTTCATTATAAATAATCGATTCCATTCTCATCTTCATGTATAGCTCGAAAAATAACCCGCATCATTGTTTATGAGTTTCCTTTCTCAAGTCAATATCTAAATTTGGAAACTTAGGTCACTTGTAAATCATCTACCAACTTTCATCCTCCCCTGGTGGAGTATGGACTACACCTTTCCTTTCTTTTAATTTAACCATCACCAATAAATCATCAATCATTAATCAAATTTATTTTCTGAGATTATAGATTTAGATTATCTATTTTATTTATAACCATGATTTGGTTTTATTTTTTTGTTTAATATTAAATGTATGGAGTATAGTTTAAAATAAAAGGAATAATATTTTTTAAAATAAAATGTGAATTTTTTTTCATACCTTTTTAATGTAAATATGAATGCAACAAATATAAATTAAAAATGACATTATTTTGTACGTGGATGTTTAAATAAATTTATTTCTAAGCAATAATTTTAACTTTGAAGTGAAATTTTGCTAAAAAGAAAGAAAACAAGCAATCAATAAACTTCTAAGTACGTATCATATGTCCACATTATTATTCGTATATGGAGAACAATATAGTTTCTTATTATTTTATTTAAGAACTAACGAAGAAATGTCATACGTTGTTTCTAGTTTTTCGTCTTTTGTTAAGAAATAGTTTATAAAAATACAGTTATTGAGTTTTTTTTTATACATATGAAAGATATTAATATGACCAAATTAAAATGATATGTATCATACTTTTTTTATCAAGCAAAAGAATCAATTTGTTGTTTGGAAAAATAAATAAACTTTAATGTAATTAAATTTTATTTGCCTTTTCATTCTTATATGTATTTTCATATTCGTACCATAATATATGTATACATATGTATGACTAACATTTCACCAACGTTAGTATAGAGTGAGTGGCAATTGTGTCAATATGAATATATTGGGTGACATTTTTTTTTTTTTTACAAACACTTTACAATCTTTTTTCATGTAATATGATTGGAAATTTGCACTAATAATTGTATTTTTGTAGCGTTTTAGTATTTAAGAAAAAAATAATATTTAAGATAGAATTAAAAATATGTTGTATATATGAAAAGAAATTTGATGTTTAAGAGACAGTGAAGAGTAAGGAATAAAATATCTGTAGAAGTTGATTTAGGTTTACTTCGAGAATGTTACTCCACACTACCTGTTTCTATACAATGATTTATGTATGTTCTTCTAACCAAACTTCTTGATCTGTAGTATCTTTTACATTTATGTTTTATGTAAGTTTCGTTTAATAACTGATATTTTAACTATTATATTATAAAAATTAATGATTTTTAAATTTTAATTATTATAATAAACTGATTTTCTATATATATTAAAAAATATAAAACTATATATGAAAAATAAATATTAATAAAATGATATATATATATATATATATATATATATATATATATATATATATATATATATATATATATAATTTTGTACAACCTTCGATCTATGTTCTAGGAGGGTTTTAAGTCGTAAAGGAAACAGGAATGTGGTTGAATAATTTGACTAAGTTTGCCAGTGTATCAAGTCAAGAAAGCTAAGGAATTTCTGAAAATAATATATAATAATAGGTGCATCTCATAAATAATGTTTTTCTGTATAATTTACGAAGAAATACATGAAAATTGTTGATAGAATGTCATATTTATTTTGACAATAAAAAAAAGCGGAAATAAAAAAATCAATAATTAATGTTAAATTCATACAAAGTTTCTAACTTTTTTTTTTCAAATCAAACACTTTATTTATTCATTTTTACTTATTTTTCACTTCAAATATCAAATAATTTTTATTTATACTTTATTTATCATCTCATATATTCATTGATATTTTTGTTCCTCACTAAATAAAACAAATATATAGAATATTTATGAATAAAAATAAAGAAAAAACAAATAAAGATTAATAAAAGTATTCAAGTTGTTTTTATTTAAATGTAATGTGATGTTTAAATTAAGTAAAGTGAAATCATTTTAAATTATTTTTCATTTACACCAAACATAATAAAATATATTGATAAAGAGAATTTTCATGACCGTTACTGTAAGCAAACAGAACAATAAAAATCATATAAAATATATATATATATATATATATATATATATATATATATATATATATATATTATCAATAAATAATAAATAAATATAAAAAAAATGAGAGATTAAATTTATAAATATATTTAATAATTATTAAATTTTTAAAATATATTTATTTTTGAAATTTAAAATCATAAATATTAAAGAATATTACAAAATTTTTAAAATAATAATTAAATTTAAAACCAAAATTTAAATATTAATACGAAACTTTAGACTTATCTTCTGCTAATAAACTCCACCACTGATTGTTATGATTATAACTAAGAAAGTAAAAAAATATTCATAGTTAATTAATGATGTATTAACAACGTCATAAATTTATAATTTACCATAAAGTATTCAACAAGGAAAATTTTACATAAGAGTATAAAAGGAAAAAATATAAGCTTAATGTGATAGTACGTTTTAGTGCATAAAAAATAAGTAAGCATGATAATTGTTCAAAGTTACCAAACATTTTTATAAACTTGTAAAATAAATAAATCTTAACTACATAAAGGAAAATAAAAATAAGTAAAATAGTCCTTCAAAAAATTAAATTTGCGTTAATATTATATAGTTAATAATAAAAATTTATAATGTCCAGTTAAATCATGTTTTAATAATAAAATATTCTCTCAAAACTTAATTATAAGATATAATTACAAGTTACATTGAGAGATTAAAATAAATATTTTACTTTTAGGACTAGATTGACAAAATTTCACTCAAATACATACCAAATTAATCACTTGTCCAATATAAAAAGTAAGATTTATTACACTACTTGATTCTAAAGTCACTGATCTTTTATTTGAGTGAAATTAAATAATAATTAAAGATAAATTATAAGTTTTCTAAAGGATAATAATTTCCTTCTTAAAACTTTATTTTTTAAAACTTCACTTGAAAATATTTATTTATAGCTATAATAATATGATGGAAACTATGTTGCACCCAACTTTTTATTCTTCTCACAAAATTTCTGAAAAAAAATATTATAATATAAAAATTTTCAAAAACTAAATTCTTAAATATAAAAAAAAAGTTTGAAAAGAAAAAAAAATCTTTAAAAAAATTATTAAAATGTATCTGATTCTTTGTCATTTTGTAAAACAAAAATTGATCATTATTTATATATATTTTGAAACATTTTTTATTTGTACATCATATTTTAGGAATGCACTAAAATTAGTTAGGTGTCAGTACGAGAATTATTTGTACATCTTACTTTAGGAATTCACTAAACCATTGTATTCTCGGACTTACGTTGGTAGGAAAATGACTTTAGGAAATTCACACAAATTAACAAAGAAGAAATGAAGTTATTGCATAACCACAGAGGGAAGAGAGAAAAACAATAAAATTTGGTAGTAGATGTCATTTTCCAATTATTTTTCCATATAGAAGAATAAACCCGAATATTCTTTATTGAAGTATGTATGAGTTGGAAGAAGAGAGTAATTACGGTCTCCAACTCATTATATGAGTGATTTATGAAAATGACATCAACATAAGTAAGCAACAAAATTTTAACTGAGGAAAATAAACAAGTGATTTGACAAAGAAAAAAAAACAAAAAAGTTGTCGGTTAAGTTAAGTTAGATTCGTAGCTCAACCATACTTGACCTATAAATTATGGGAGGAGGCACGAACTTCGCAACTTGAGGTGCCCATAATACTTAGAAGGCATGAGAGTATAGATGTAGAGTGAAGAAACGAATTGTGAAGCATTTTTATAGATGAATGTTAGACAATTATGGATGAGAAGAAACCAAACAAAAGAAAAATAAAAAAATTAAGTGGTGGATGTGATTTTTGAATTAAATTGAATTGATAATAGAGAATATATTAATTATATTATGGATAGGAAATAAGGTAGATGGAGGTTGTTAGTTGGTGGGGTTAATTGAGGGTAAAGAGAATATTAGAGTGCAAATGTGCACGCCATCATAAATTACATTTGCCCTGCGTTTTCCCCAAAAGACTAATTAATTAAGATGCAACAATATTTGAAGGTGTTGAATGGGACATGATGGACCTTTCTTTCTAACCCAAACTTTATTTGTGAGACCGGACAGGACCCAATATACTTGCTTCACCGCAAGTTAACCACGTGTCTCGTTACCAACTTCACAAAATTAGAGAAACTATTTAAATAAAATGGTTATTTTATTTTATTTTTTCTCAAATATGGAACTAGTGAAGTAGAAATGGCCGGCAATTCAACATGATACCATAAGATGAATAAAAATAAAGTCATTTTTTTATAAATGAAAAGTGATAAAAAATATCATCTTTCATTAAAAAATATAAAAAGTGTTTTTTTTTTTAAGATATGTTGGACCATGTTGTTTGTTTACAAATTATATAAATTAAATGAATAATTTAATATAATTTATATTTTATATGCAATGTGAAATTATTTTATTTAAATTATTTTAAGTATTTTTATAGAAAACATAATTTTAGAATAAATAATATTTTATAACTATAAAGTATAAATATATCGAATAAACATAGGATTTTAATTTAAAGATATTAATTTAAAAAGTTATTTTATTCATAAAAGATTAATCAATAAAGTATGAATAGTTTTGCGATTATAAAGTATTTAATTTATCTATTTTTTAT